ATATTGGATTTACATAGTGATTTGCGTCACGTTACACTATGTTTATTCTTCTGTTGACTGGCGGATTATCAATTAAACTAAATTATTTTACTTTATATAACCTACATTTAACTTACCAACAATGTCAATTAATACTTAATCTAAAAAAGATGTATATATATTTAAAATAAAATAGCCTCAGTAAACTCTAACTAAAAGAACTCTAACCAATATAATGTATATGGTCACAATAGTATTATTGTTCATGCATGATGCTATAATAGGTGTATTCTAGATTAGGGCCGATGATTTTCTGTAGTAATAAACTATCGATTCTATCGTAACAAAATCTAAATTCTGTACTAAAATTTAGAAATTCTGTATCAGTTATATATTAAATTATAAATTCTGCAATCAATTTTATATTAATTTTTCTGATTATTTCAGGCACTAAACAAAAATTTTAACTTGACCATGTTTGTATTTCAAGTTTATTTAGTTTTTATACCAGAACTTTTTAGAAGTTATATTTAACTATAAAAAATTATAGGTTTCACTATAAATCCTTACCTCCTGCGATATTTTTGTTTTATTTTTTAACTTTTTGCAGCAATTCTGTACTATCTTTGACATATTCCACATATTCTATGCTTACAATCTGATTCTATAAAATCATCGGCCCTGCTTTAGAAATGATTTTGACTAATAATAGTAAATAGAAAAAAATTTAATATATTAGACTAAATTATAATTTATTGTTATTTTGAAATATAAATTTAAAGATCTAATATTCTTAAATTTTATTTTTTATTGAAAAACTTAACTTTTATCAAGATTTTTAAAGTAAATAACTAATAAAATGTTTGGTATTTGGTTTGTTTTGAATTTTCCTAATTGCATTTGCTAATTACATGTGCTCTCGATATAATGGAGGCCATGGTTCTAGTCCTTTGCTCCATTATATCAAAAGATCTGTAATATCAAAATCTCATGATATAATAAATCGTAATTTGGTTCCATTATAATTCTCCATATTAAGCAATATCTATTATATCGATGGTCCGTTATATCAAGAGCCACGTGTACTATATTACTAGGAATCAGAAACCGATATAAGTTCAGAATGAAATAAATTAATAAAATAAATTTTTTTATTTTTTAATATAAAGACCCAACGAAGTAAAGACACAATAAAGCAAGACCCAACGAAGCAAGACCAAGTAAAGCAAGACCCAACGAAGTAAGACCAATGAAGTAAGACCCAACAAAACAAGACTCAACAAAGCAAGACCTAATGAAGCAAGACCCAATGAAGCAAGACCCAATGAAGCAAGACCCAACGAAGCAAGACCCAACTAATCAAGACCCAACAAAGCAAGATTCAACAAAGCAAGACCCAACAAAGCAAGACCCAACAAAGCAAGACTCAACAAAGCAAGACCCAACGAAGCAAGACCTAATGATACAAGGCACAAACCCAAAAACACAAAACCTAATAAAAGGCAAGGCCTGAAGAAGTATAAGATCTAATGAAGTAAAAACCTAATAATGCAAGATCTAACAAAATATAAGACTTAATGACATGAGACCCAACAAAGTAACAATGCAAGACCCAACAAAACAAGACCAAATGAAGCAAGACCCAATAAAGAAAGACCCAATGACACAAGATCCAATGAAGTGAGACCCAACGAAGCAAGACCCAACGATACAAGGCACAACCTCAAAAACACAAAACCTAACAAAATGCAAGGCCTGAAGAAGTGTAAGACCCAATAAAGTAAAAACCTAATGGTGCAAAATCTAACAAAACATAAGACCAAATAACACAAGATCTAATAAAGTAACAATGCAAGACTCAATGAAGCACAAGAAATAACAAAGTAAGATCTGACAATGCAAGGCAAAATCTGTGTAAAAAGTGTTAATTTTGCTTAAAAAAAAAAAATTTTACACAAAAAAGCATCTATCACATTCCTAGATCCAGATTTTTGAACCCAACAAAGAAAGACCTGTGCAAAAGAAAAAAGAAGTATTAGTTCTACTTGAAAAAAAAAATCAAGACTGTGAAAAAGCACTTATTATGTTCTAGTCCAGTGCTAAATTTTAAAAGAATGCTGAATCTAAAATATTAGTTCAAAGAAAAAATATAAAAAAATAAAAAATAAAAAAAAATAAAAAATAAAAAATAAAAAAAAAATAAAAAAATAAATAAAAAAATAAAAAAATAAACAAAAAAAAAAGAATCTTAGTTTTGCAGTATAGTAGTAAAAAAAAGATCAAAATAATCAGTTATTCAAAATAATCTTGTAATTACACATTACGCGTACAGACAGACAAAAAATTTTCAAATTATGCTATTAATATATTTGTTTTTGATAACTATATTGATGTATCAAAAAAGGTAATTTTTACAGGCACAACACATCAAAAATATAACTTTTGTATCACATAGTGCATAAAAATTGAGTGTCCATTGCTACATTATACTTGCTGGCAAAACTTATGAGATTTGGGATTTGTCTATAGACAAATCTAGACAAATGGGATTGTCTGGCCATATTTAAAAATCCCATATGGACAAATCCCAAATCCCAAATTCCATTCCAAATCCCAAATCCCAACCCAAATCCCAAATTTCAAATTTTAAATTTCAAATAGCAATAATCATATAATTTTTACAAATCTGTTAAACATATAGGCAAAAATCTTCAATTTTGTGATAATTTAATATAAGTGATTAGGTTAAATAAAATTTGAGCCAATCATTTATGTAATATAGCATGATTATTGAGAGTAAAAGTGATTTTTTGATCAAAAATTGTAAGCCTGATAATAAATTGCTTATAAATCACTTATGAATTTTACTTATAAATTTGTATCTAATTATAACCTGATATTTATAAATTTGTACTTGATAGTAATCTGATATTTATAAATTTTGTAGGTATATACATACTGTGAGGTCCGGAAGTTGTGAATTAGAAATTGCTATACCTACTTACGTTGGCATGGTTATGATGATCTATTATTTAAAAAGAAGTTGCTAGTGATATATTGAATATATTGAAGAAATTAAATATATCTTAGATAACTAATATAATGAAGATAATAGATAAAACCAATTTAATAGTTATAGGAGATATAATAGTTTTATTCGTTATAATCAATTTAATTATTTTAATAGATATAAGAGATATAATGATTATAATAAATATTAATATACAGATATACAAAAATAAACTCTTTCTCGTAGATCATCAAACCAACAAAAAATTCAGAAAAAAATATTTTCAAATAGAAGAATACAAATATTTTATATATTTTTGGCCCTTAGATATTTTAAATATTACTTAATAGACCCTAACAATATCTATACAAAGCTGAAGAGAGATAGAAACATACTACTTTCCACTAATAATGCCTTCGAACCTTTCTTTGTTCCGACAATATCCTCTAACCCCATTCTGATAGATTTCTTTGAGACCTCAGATAACCAATCTAGAGAACAAAATCCTACTATACCAGACAACCCACCACCACTAAAAAAGAAAAAGACAATATCTAAAACCAAAGATGAAAAAAACACCATCT